AATCACTTTGAGCTGCATAGCTGATGAGGTTGTACATTTTTTTTTCTAGCGAAATTTTTATTTACATTTGAAAAAAGTTATATTTATCTTTTGTGTGGGCATTAAATGCTGGAGAGTTTCTGTAGTGATTTATTTTCATGCATTTTTAAGGCTTTTCAAAAGGTTTGTCAATAATTCTACCGACAAAAATATTTTCAACACAATCCTTGTTCTCATTAGGCATTAAATGCGTAGCATTTTATTTAAATGTCACAATCGGCGACTTGTGACTTTTTCATGCCACACAATTTATTTGAACCTAATTCTGTAAATTATTCTATCCTAAAATATTCGACAGCATTTTGCAATTTTTGAGCATTTTAATGGAAATTGATATAAAATTGTCAAATGTGAGCATGCAAATTAGAACGTCGAATGTCATTTATTGACAATTTTTCGCTCTCGGTTCTCTTAGTGACATGACATTGAAAAACTTTTTCGACATTATCGACGTTGTTATTGACATACATCCATAAATAAGTTTATTTACGTGTCTATTTCATGGGGATTATATTCGATGGAAGGAATGAATTGGAGTGGAAATTTTTGGGTTAAGGATTTTTGCTGGATTTGGAAGATATATGAAATATTTGTGCTATATTTACTTCTTTTGATGGCTATGCGGATCAATTGAAGTCTACGGCATCCTTTAGATGAGTTTCACAACTGGTTCGTTTGCTTGCCAATTCTTAATAAGTGTTGTTCAAATATTTGAATCTATGAACTTAATTTCTTATAAAGCCACTTTAAAGATGCGCTTTGTTTACTAAGGTTACGATGCTGACCAACATTCTTACTTAAATATTTTTCCGTTTGTCTAAAGAAAAAAGGCAAGCAAAGTTTTTGAACGCCAAGGATTTTGGTAAACTTTATATTCTTCTTTCCTTTTTCATTCTCATCATTGAATAGCAAACTTTTTAATATTAATAGTTTTCCTCACATTTCATCCCCAACTCACTAGCAATTTCTCCTTCTTTATGTTGCGGATGAATTTTTTTTTGCCTCTCTTGACTGTATGTGAGCTATTTCTTGTTTGGACATGTGGGTGAGATTGTTTTTTACTCACATATTTAAGATTTTTTGCTCCTTTCGTCCTTGATGTGGATTCTGCTTTGTTATAGGATATAGAAGATGTAGGAAACGGAAGTAAATGTCTGAAGCGCATTTGGCTTAGTGATCTAGACATGAGGATGTAGTAGTAATTAACGTGCTGCTGTCATTGACAATCGATATCTTACTTGCAGTTGACTGATTCTGACTTTATGTCGATGACTGAAAATGCTTAGCTATTCAGATCTAATTTGACCTTAAGATGCTCAAAGAATGAATCACGAAAAAAAGCTCATGATGAAAAAGAAAGTTATAAAATAAGAACAAAACAGAAAGAATAATAGATTATCAGGAGATAAGACATAAATTACTATGGTACGCCAACGAGTCCTTATTTTCGATATTGATTTTTTTTTGGTACCTTATTTTCGAGCATGAGTTCAAATTTTTTTCTCACGTTAAATTATTAATGTCTAATCTCTTTAATTAATGGTTTACATATTTGTTTTTCATCATCAAAATGCTAAAAGAATCCACTCAACTGTAATGAATCATTACTGATTTGCTAAACAATTAATGCAAGTGAATTAATGACATTTTAATTTTCAATGTAAACAACAACAAAATTTTTTGAATATTTTTGAAAAAAATCATATTAAACTAATGTTTCCTGCATTTATCATCGATTAAACGATTAAATGAGTGTTGATTAACATAGTAGAAGGATTCGATTCCTAAATAATAAGTGAATTAAGTCAAAAATTGCGAAAAGTTAAAATTTTCATAAAAAATATGATTTTCGAAATTGCGAAATTTTGTTCAAAAAACATTCGAAACAAGTTTAAACTTATTTTGCTCCAACGTTGACATCGTCTCTTGGCATATCATAGATAAATTAATGTGGTCTCGTCCAATCCCAACATTAGTTTTTCGAAACTTTCTTTGCTCCTTCCGAGAAAATGATTTGCGTTTTGCATCGACAATTAATTTAGATACGAAAAAATCTTCCACAACATGACCCAATTTCTTCCGCATTTGGTGACTTAAACCTTCAATTCTGCATACATATATGCTTACATACTTAAATTTTATAACAAACATGATAGTCATTATGTGTCACAATGAATGTGAAAAATCCATTAAATGGCTCCCTTAAGGACCAAAAACATGAAAAATATATTTTTATGGCTTTTTTTGCCATGTCTACTTCTTCCTGCTCTCAATTTCTTATGTTTTTTTTTTTCATTCTTTCTCTACTTTCCTTCAAAAATAATGGCACAAAGTAAAGCTTTATTATTTTTTAATTAGTTAAATTTCTCTCATAAATGATGGAGACGAGTAAGAAGAAAGGAATGAGCATGGGACAAGTTATAAAGTCGTCAACTAATTTGATGGATTATAGAATGTTGAATTTTTATGACTGAATTTTCAGAACTGTAGAGATTTTTGAAGGCTTATTAGATTTAGTCATTTTTATGGGCCTTTTAAAAGCTTTGATTTTCTGAGAAGCTTTTAACAATTCTTAAAGGTTTGAGTTAAAAACTTTGTTGTCGAGAATTTCATGAACTTACCGACAAAATAGAATCAAAAAAATGTAACCATGCCAAACCGACCCCCAAAATAATTACAACGTAGTAAGTTACGTTAATTAAATAAAGGCGCAATAATTCTTTCCACGCTGTTTTTTTTCTGCTGCTTTATTTTATTTAATGTAAGATTTAAAAAACAAAACACACAACAAAGTGTGGAACGGAAAATTTTTGTTTTTCTTCTACTCCACCTCCTACCAGTGCTTTGAGCTTGTGAACTCATACACAAAAAAAAAACATAAAAGACATTTACACTCAAGAGACTTAATGTATCGCCCCGAGAGAGTAAATTTTCCTTTATGCTTTTTTGACAATTAAGAAAAATTTATTACCTTTCATCACCCTCTCAACTTTAATTGATGATGAAAATGCTTTACACATATAGAGTTATGCCAGAAGTGGTGTTAGATGATTTTTGAGTGGTGGGGGTACAATTTATCAAGGAGAAGAAGGCTGATTTTTATACATTTTCAATTTCGAGACGGGGTTTAGACCCCATTTGATCCCCTGACTACACTCACTTCCATGTTCAGAAGAATTATTCTTCAATATTGAAAGCGAGAGTTGAAAAAACTTTTTCTTTTTTTTTGTTGTGTTTTTCTTTGGCAAATTTTCATTAGCTTTTTGCGAATAGCTTCAAAAATTCATACTCAAACAACAGCATTGAAGCTCATTTTGGGAGTGAAAAAAAAAATTAATTAAATTCTAACACGTTTCAAAATTAAAAAGTACGAATACATGCGCATATGAACATTTAACAAACTTTTCATGCTGACTGGCTTTATAACCTTTTAAATGTTGATGAAAATTTTCATTTTCATTTAATTGAATGTGAACAGTGAAATTTTATTCTTATATCCCCGAAAATTGCTCAAATTATTTCGTTTAATAGCAATTTAATCTTCAATGTTCATTGACATGACATTGAGATATGTTTTTCAGTGTCAGTAACATCGTTAACATTGACGTGAATAAGATTTATTTATGCTGTTGTTATTGTGAGATATAGGCAGAAACTGATGTTGGACTGACGTTTAGATATAAAATTTACCAAAATAGAACCGTCGAATTTTGTTAGGAAGAACAGCATTGCTTGAGGAATGAAAATACCTTATCTATAAATATATTTTATTTTTGAATCATTCTCAGCTTCAATTTATATTCAGCTAGAACCGTACGTCACTAGAATCAGAACCTTGAACAAACATTAAATTTTCTCCATTTTAAAGCTTAATTTTTTAACATAAAATTATAAAGTAAGGCACAAGATAAGAGAATAAAGAAAAAAAGCTATAATCATGAAGCATTAACGGATCATGGAGATGAAGTGAAAGGTAATCGATTATATATCGGTTATCATCAATATTGCTAACAGAACAGCAGTAAGAGCACGAAACAGGAGCATGATACACTTTTGGTAAAGACCGGTGCAGATAATGGATGTAATTATTTGAAACAACTTAACATTTATGTAATACAGAACGAAACAAGTTTTGTGATTGATGCAGTTACCTTGCTGTGGACCGTGCATAAACTTTTTTCTTCTTCTTCCTTTAATTTCCTTCATGTGCTTGATCATGAAATGGGTACATGACATTTTTCTTCTTATTCGTATAATAGATGTAGGGCATTCAACTGCGTTGGTCGGAACAATCGGCTCGGTGCTGCTTGTGGAAAAAAATCAATAAACTCAACATTCACACATGCGATAAGAGCAAATATGATTAGAAAAAAAATATGTGGAATTTTCTATTGGGAATCGACCAGATGTTTTGATTGCTGCTGTTTTAATAAAGAACTTTCATCAATTTGTTGATCAAGGTCAGAAAGGCAATTCATTACCGTGAGAGAGTATAATGAATAAAGCCATTCAAACCAATCAATCAATTGAGAGCAGAGAATGTTGATGGATTGGAAAGGAGGATGGAATTTGAAGGTTTTGCTTACAAAAATGGAGTTCTCAGAAGGATTGAGTTTAAATGATAAAAGTTTTAATGCTGAAATTAAGAATTCAAGCTATGAAATTAATCTAGCTTTAATACAATATCATCTTATTATTAATTGTTCATTTATGTTGTCTACCCAAAGAATTAAATGCATTATAAATGATATAAAATCTAATTACATGCTACAAATGTTCCATCCCAACTCTTTACTCTCTAAATTACCTCAAAGAACATCGACAATCTTTCAACTATAATTTCATTACTTGTTTCTATCATAATTATTATTCAATTTATGTAAAACATTTACTTTCATCGACCGTATCTTTTGTAACGACAATTAATTTATGTCTTGTTCCTTTTTCTTTTCTACTTACAGAGAATGAGTGCACTAAAGATCAATTTCAATGCGACAATGGACGCTGTATACCAAAAAGATGGCAATGTGATCAGGAGAAAGATTGTAATGATGGAAGCGATGAAGATGCAAGCCATTGTCGTAAGTTTATTGTACTTGCTCTATGCACATAGTGTGCTTCATTTTACTTTACTCTTTTTTTGTATGTCGCATAATTGAATTGAATGCTTAATTGTTCTAGAAGAATGCTTGGTCTTTTGTATTTCCCTTCTTCTTTTGTTCATGACCCATCATCACCATTAAGTCTGCTGTCTTTTTTGAGACAGGGAGGGAAAATGTTTAACAATGTCATAATTATATTTGATGCTAGAATTTTAAATTAAAACTTTAGTAAACGTTAAAGTTTCCCTCCCTAGACTTTTTAAAAACATCACTTCATATTCTACACAACTGAATGAGCAAGGATGTCTGTGCTTGTATGCTTCTTTATTTCTATGAGTGAAAATAATTATTATATTTTAACTTTTATAATTTAATTAACTTTATGCATTAAACACATAAAACAAGATTTAGAACATTTGACGCACTGTCGGGACAATGAGTTTCTCTGTAGAAATGGAGAGTCGTGCATACCGAGAAGTTGGGTTTGTGATAGCTCGCCGGACTGCTCCGATAAATCTGATGAGAGTCGTTGTGGTGGTAAGATGAGTTGAAATAACTTTAATGAGACAACGATTCGAGTTAAATTATTTTCACATTACGAACTATGGAGCTTGTTCATTCTGTTTGCGTCTGTAAAATGAAAACTTCTTTGAAGTTGGTCTGAAATTTGAGGTTCAATAATTACTAATGTCGGCAAAACTTAAAACTAGCCAAAATAACTTCAATCATTTGCCTTAAACCCGAGACTTAAAATCTAGCCTTGATGAAATTCAGACTATCTTCAAACAAGTCATTTCGACCATATAACACCAGAGAAATTATTTCCATTAATTTGATCGTCGATTCGATTTCAATTGTTCTGAACATCGCTGAAAAAAAGAAGAATTTTTTAATTAAAAATCAGTGAGATTTAATTGAATTTCGATGACCTATTTTATGGTTAAGCAATCCATTTATGCTAAATAGCAAAGCGATTGAACTCAACAAGTATTTAATCAAATTCTTACTCACATTCAATTCTCGGCGTAAATTCAGAGCTATTTACATTTTTCATTTACATTGAGGCAATTACAGCTGCTTTCAATTGTTTTATGTCACATTCCGAGAACTTTACTGTGCCTGTCATCAACAATCCTTCTCGTTTACTACTTGAAATTGAGCACTATACATAAATTATTCATGCTCAACTTTATTACAATATGAAAAATAAAATAAAAGTGGAAATGATAGTACTTTTGAATTTTATTTTTATATTTTTTGTTTGTTTGCGGATGTAGATGATTTAAATGGTTATTGCTAGTGGGTTTTAATAGCGCTTTTATTACGCTATATATTTATTATTTAAGATTTAGTTTTTATGTAAATTACTTAGGATTTTTGATGTTTTAATTTTAATTCTAGCATTTACTTCGTTTAGTAAAAGACAATTTGTAGATTACAATCTAATAGTGGCTAATGATAAGTTTCTATGGCAAAAAATCTTCGCTTTCATCATTAAAACGGAAAACAGAAAAGCTCTTTAATTACGATTTAATTTTAAAATCAGTAATTGATATTCTTTAGCTGGAAGAGATATGCAAAAGCTTTAATACCTTTTAATTAATTCAGTTTGGATTATATTGACATTATTCAATGTTGATGAAGCTGCATAAAAATCATGCACATCTCTCGCATTACTATTATTATCGTACATGCATGTTAAATTTTATGGCTCCCACTTTTATGGATGCATATTACTTTAGAGATTCTCGAGGACAGGCTCAAGTGGAAGCTGCTTATTGCAATAATGATTTCTGAAGGATTGTGCTTATTACGAGGTGTTGCTAGGACAGCAGCGATGTGGTTGCAGCAATCTGCTTTGGTTTCAACCTGTGGCAAACCAAAGAATAAAAAACTTATAAAAATGTTCAGCACAAAACTAACGGCATTAAAAAAACTTACGAACCTCTAACCTGCATATGCGATATATCATATTATCATATAAAAATGCATCATACAGATAAATGCTGTAACCATTTCAATTTATATGTTAATTAAGTCACTGGTGTTTGCTACATGATAATAATGAAGTGTAATTAAAAATTATGCAGTTTTAAACTTTTATATTCTCTCAGTGCTTTTTTATGCTGTATACATTTTTCCTCCATTCAGTCAATTTATTCCCTCCAATGTCGTGTATATTATGCAGTTCTCCTACCCATCCAAAATGGTTCGTGTTGTCAAAAAAATTGAAAAAATTTTTTTTGAGTGACAGGGTTAATTAATATTTTTTATGACTATAAAAAGATCTATTGTAAAATTGGCATACGACCTAGATTTTGATTGTTGATGTCCTTTTTAGCTTTTAAGATACTTTGAATTTTTTTTTTATGAGTTTCCTTCCCAGGAATCTCAACTAGAGTGATTCATGCGGGTCAAATTTAAATATTTATCAGTTTTCCTCTCGTTCGAGATGAGAGTTTTCATTTTATTTTGTGCATTAATGCAAAATTCTTGCATATAAACATTATTTTTATTCGTATATACTCATTTTTATTTTCATGAATGTAAAAAGTCTGAATGTTGTGATGTGAATTATTGTTTGCATGATGAAATATGTTTGAATATATATCACATTTTTTGTCTGCATTTTGCACACAGTGTGAATAACACCTCGTTTTTTTTAACAATGAAAATGAATGAAAAAGTTCCTCTTTAGTTAAAAGGGGGCTCTTATTTATGCTCATATGCATTATATTAAAATTTTTTTTTTCATAGCTTCACAGAACAAAATACATGACAGAAACATTTTTGCATGCTCTCCTTTTTATTTTCCTTGCTGTATTCATTTAAAATTATTAATCCGCTTCCCGAATTCCTCGTTTTTAAAATTTTTTGTGTGTACATTTGCATTTATTTGACTGTCAAATGCTCTTTGAAATTATTTTTGAAGATTCTTTTTTAAAAATTGTTCATTTTGGAGTCAGATTTTACGTCTGGTTCTTGGTTTTTAAGTATAGTCGGGTATCAAGCTATATGAAGGTGAATATGCTTGTACTAAGTTTAATCTAAGTCTATAGCTAAGGAGTTAAGCAACTCATCTGTGAGCTCGATTATTGCCAAAGGCTTATGTTTGATACTTACGACAGTTTCTAAAAAGGGTCAAAATTCTTAAGAAGTTCTAGGATTATTGGAACAACTAGGATTTGTGGGGGGGGGGGGGGGGGTTCTAAAATTTTATTTTCTGCCTAATGTGAACGAGCTCTTACATGTTAAAGATGTTTCAAGGCGTGCATACAGATATTAGGAATTGATGTTCTGAGCTATATCTCTTAAAAAATGCGCATAAAATTCAACATTTACCATAGCCTCATACTTCTCATCCATTTATTTCATTTTCTGTCACTTCCTATTTTTGTGTTTATGAATGTGTGCATCTATTCGTTCTGTGTACTTGTGTGTGTATGCATGCCAAATTTATTCCAAACATAACAATTTTTTTGGTTCTATTTTTATTTTTTTTTTTTTGAATTTATGTATAAATATTATTTTTAGCTCATGCATGCAGGAAACCGAAAGATATAATTCATACTAACAATTTACCATTTTTTTCTGTATCTTTTTTGCTACTTTTCCATATCTCACATCCTCTAAAATACCGCCACGATATATAAAAAAAATTATTATTCATGTAGAGGCAAAAGTGTGCTCATCTGAGGATTTTACATGCAGGAGTAACAATGGCGAATGCATTCCATTAGCATGGATGTGCGATGGAAATAAGGATTGTACAGATGGATCTGATGAGACGTCATGCAGTGAGTATCGACTAGAACTTAAATCTCTCTATGCAATTTTTTTTTATATATATTTCATCATCATATAATTCATGGGGGTGAAATCAAGTTTTATAACTATATTTGACAAATGAGAGTCATAAAAAGCAGAGACATTTCACATTGCATTTGTGCTGGGATGTACATTGTTTGTGGAAATAAATGTATATGCATGCAAGTGACAATAATTCAGTGCAGTGTGATGTAAATCTTATTTTCTTAAACAGATGTGGTACTAACAAGGGATGGTTCTATATGTTGTGATTGTTCAAGCATTAATTCGTCATTTAAATCTAATTTCTGTGAGAATATTCAGGAATTAATTATGAGAAAGAAATTAAAGAATTAATAACTCAAGCATCAAATTTGCTGTAGAATGTGCTTTAAGTATTAAAAAAACTTTTTAATCTGTCTTATAATGCTTACTTAAAGATAGATAGTTTTAAAAATTATAATCCTCACAATATTCAATGTGACGAGAGCTATGCTTAACTTTAAAATTTATGCCATAAAACTTTTACATGTAATAATTTGAATATAAATTGAATGAAGAAGAAAAAAAATATGAAAGTGATGGTGGATGCCACCTTGTGTTTCGTTCTCTGGAAGCTCTCAAGTGGAAATGAAAAACTTTTCAATCATTCATAATTTCAAGCATAATGAGGATGATGTAGTAATATTGATGATGAACGAGGAAGTTCCGTCAAATAACTTTGTATGAGAATGTTTTTATTGGAGTTGAGGATGATTGAAGGTTTTTGTTGAGATTTTGCGAGATTTAAAAGTTTCTTATTTTAAAGATTTGTTTTTAGAAATTTTGTCTAAAAAGCAAATTTTTAAATTCTCATAAAATCAATTCTTTGAGCTTTTATAAAGCTTAATCGTAAACTTTTTCATTAGCACAAAACTAAATGCTAAAACCTAAAAAAAATCGAGTGCTTTTTCAGAGTGATTTCACACTTAAATTAAAAATCTCATTTTTTGATGAGCCCCATTTGTGTTTAGCCCCTATTTGTTATTTTCGTAAAATTTATCCCTTCCTGTTAAGAACCTTAATATCAAGAATATTTACATGATGTCAATTCTAATGAAAGAATGAATCTTTATTCTCTTTACATTTCGTCTTAAGCACTAAGCTATTGGAAATTACGTTAAATTCAACATTTACTTTTGCATCATTATTGTGATAACAAGGAACATTTTTTTTCTCTCCCTTATCTGCGCTTGATTTCCTTTCCGCTTTCTTTGTATTTTATTTTATTAAATAAAATGTAGCATAACAATATTCATATTTACTTTGAGATCTTATTTATATCTTATCAAATGCGAGTGGGATGGGAGTAATAAAATGAATGGAATATTTAGAAGTAAGAATAAAGATGGTAGAAGAAGTCGAAAAGGATTAAGGTCATTGTTTAAAGGAAGAACTATTATTTCATTTTTAGTTCATATGAAAGAAATGAATTATGGTTGTCTAGGTTCAATAAAGTTGCCAACTTAGGTTTCATCTATATTATAAACCAGAGATCGAAACCGATTTTTTCGGCTTAACTCAATTTTTGATTTTTTTGATAAAAAAAAAGCCATTTAACACCCATTTCAAGTGTTTAAATTGAACTTTACATGCTTTACTATGATTCTGTGAAATAGTTTTTCAGCATGTAGCTATAATAAGCTCTGAATTTCAATTCAGCCGATGTCCAAAAAATCAAAAATTGAGTT